TCTCCTCAAGGAGTAGTGCTGGGAAAACTGGACAGATGCATGTAAAAGAATGAGATTAGAACATTTCCTCACACCACATACAAAAATAAACTCAAAATGGATTAAAAACCTAAATGTTAAACCTGAAACCATAAGACTCATAGAAGAGAACATAAAGCACTCCTGACATAAATCATAGCAATATTTTTTTGGATCCATCTCCTAAGGCAAAAGAAATAAAAGCAAAAATAAACAAATGGACCCAATTAAACTTAAAAGCTTTTTGCACAGCAAAGGAAACCACCAGCAAAACAAAAACACAACCTTTGGAATGGGAGAAAATATTGCAAATGATATGACTAACAAGGGATTAATATCCAAAGTATATAAACAGCTCATACAACTCAATATAAAACAAACCCAAAACCAAAACCAAAAATCAACCTAACCAAAAATGGGCAGAAGAGGGAGTTCCCTGGTAGTCCAGTGGTAAAGAATTTGCCTTCCAATGTAGGGGATGTGGGTATGATACCTGGTCAGGGAACTAAGAGCCCACATGCCATGGGGCAACAAAGCCCACGCACCACACCTACTGAGCTCGTGTGCCCCAATGAGAGAGCCCACGTGCCGCAAACTACAGAGCCCGTGCACTCTGGAGTCTGTGTGCCACAACTAGAGAGAAGCCTGCATGCCACAACAAAGAGCCTGTGCTGCAACGGAAGATCCCACACACCTCAACGAAGACCCCCGTGTGCCACAACTAAGACACAACACAGCCATAAATTAAAAAACTAACAAATAAATAAATAAATGGGCAGGGACTTCCCTGGTGGCACAGTGGCTGAGAGTCCGCCTGCCAATGCAGGGGACACGGGTTCATGCCCCAGTCCGGGAGGATCCCACATGCCACGGAGCGGCTGGGCCCGTGAGCCATGGCCACTGAGCCTGCGTGTCCAGAGCCTGTGCTCCGCAACGGGAGAGGCCACAGCAGTGAGAGGCCAGCGTACCGCAAAATAAATAAATAAATAAGTAAATAAATAAATAAGCAGAAGTCCTGACTAGACATTTTCCAAAGACATACCTTTGTCTTTGTGTTAGATGCCTAACACACGTGAAAAGATGTCCAACGTCACTAATTATTACAGAAATGCAAATCAAAACGAGATAACACCTCATCACCTGCCAAAAAGCCTACAAATAACAAATGCTGGAGAGGATGTGAAGAAAACGGAACCCTTGTACACTGTTGGTGGGAATGTAAATTGGTACAGTCATTATGGAAAAAACTAAAAATAGAACTACCATATGATCCAGTATTCTATTCTTGGGTATATATCCTGAAAAAAAACAAAAACACTGATTCAAAAAAGATACATGCACCCCAAAGTTCATAGTACCATTATTTACAGTAGCCAAGATACGGAAGCAAACTAAACGTCCATCAACGTATGAATGGATAAAGAGGATGTGGTACATATATACAATGGAATATTACTCAGCCATAAAAAAGAATGAAAGCCTGCCATTTGCAGCAATGTGGATGGACCTAGAGAATATGCTTAGTGAAAGTCGTCACACAGAGAAAGTCTAACAGTCCATGATACCACTTATTTTGGAACCTTTAAAAATAATACAAATGAATATTCATGCAAAAAAGAAACAGACTTACAGATACAATAAACAAACTAGTGGCTACCAAAGGGGAAAGGGAAGGGGGGAGGGGCAAATTAGGGGCATGGGATTAAGAGATACAAGTTACTCTGTATAAAATATATAAGAAACAGGGCTTCCCTGGTGGCGCAGTGGTTGAGAGTCTGCTTGCTGATGCAGGGGACATGGGTTCGTGCCCCGGTCCGGGAAGATCCCACGTGCCGCGCAGTGGCTGGGCCTGTGTGCCACGGCCGCTGAGCCTGCACGTCTGGAGCCTGTGCTCCGCAACGCGAGAGGCCACAACAGTGAGAGGCCTGCGTACCACAACAACAACAAAAATCACTTGCTTGCAGACTCACATCAAAACCCTATCAGTGCGTGGCAAGTGACAATTAAGCTGCATCTAACGGGGTAGACTGGACATAAGCAACACACTTTGCGTGTCACTGTCTCCCATCACCCCCACATGAGATCATCTAGTTGCAGGAAAACAAGCTCAGGGCTCCCACTGATTCTGCATTATGGTGAGTTGTATAATTATTTCATTATATATTACAATGTAATAATAATAGAAATAAAGTGCACAATAAATGTAACGCGCTTGTTTCATCCCCAAACAATTCCCACCCCACTCCCCACTCTGTGGAAAAACTGTCTTCCACGAAACCGGTCCCTAGCGCCATAAAAGTTGGGGATGGCTGATTTAGAGAATTCAATATACATTTTACAACCAGCTTAGTGAGTTGATATGTTTAGCTGCTTTACATTTTTTTCCAGGCTATAGGAATTACTGCAGGCTTTATGATCCAGAACTCGGGGTCCCTGTGCCCTTTCATTTGTGTGGTAGAGTAAACCTGGTACTGCTTCTTGAGGAGTGCGTTAGCCAGCATGATTGGTGGTGTTTTGCAGGGGAATGGCCTTCCGTGTAGGCATGTGTCCTTCTGAAACCACTCAGCTGCCACAGGATGGTGTCAATTCTACCTCATGGCTCAGCTGACTGTGCTTTTTCTCCAAGGAAGGGGCAAGTTTTCCAAATGCCTGTCAAGCAACGCTAACTCCCAAGCACAGTGTTGCTGACTACTCATGAAAAGCATCTTGAAACGATACTTGTGAGAACTGCCTGAAGGATGCAGTCTGAGTATGAACAGAACTAGTCTGATACCCTCCACAGATTCACTCAAATACAATCATTTTTCTGGCCTCATGCCATTAACTTCCACATGCCATATTATGAGAAAGGGTCCTATGAAATCCAAATATTGTAAAAGTTACTGAGAATGTTTTCAGGCCATAATAGGGCTGTTTTATAAAATGGTGTCCAAGATTTCAATTAAATCAGGAATGTACAAGTTCCAGATAATGTTTATATTTTATATATTCATTTTGATAAAAATATTTTTTATATATATAAAAAGACCCCATGTTTTATAGTAATAAACACAACTGACAGACATTTGCAAACACTAAGACTTCAGTTTTTCACTGAGGTCTATGGACGTAGATTCTTGGAGTCTGAAAAAGCATTTTCCCCTTTAGAGGACTCTACATGCTACCCGAGTTTGAGGAACACTGTATCATAGTCCCCTTTTTAGAAGAATCACTGGACATTTTTCCTTTGTTTCAATATCAAAAAGAGCTGCCCTCTGAGTAACGGACATATTTTGTCTCAAGTAATTAGTTTGGTTTCCTGTTTTGCTACAAATCTCAGCACCAAATTTGTGAATTATTTTCCCAAATTGTAGAGACCCTTTGACCATGAACTTTCTGTTCCTACTTCAACTTGGCTTAATATTATATTGCTTGCACTCATTTGCCTGAGGTATTCATTTGCCTGATATGTTGACTTTCCCAAACACTTGTTTTTAACTTAATTTCACTTTGTTCTGTGTGTGTGTGTGTGTGTGTATACACACACACACACACACACACACACACACACACACATATACATTGCACTATATACCATGTAGTTAAAACTTTTTTGGGGGAACGAGATGGAATATAAATAAATCTTATGAAAATTTATACTGCCAAAATTACGCATCAACACTTTAAATCCTTAACTTTAGTCTACAAATCATACCTTTAAAGTAGTAGTATTAATTTTTGACAAACATTTTTAGAAATGAATTCTTTTTTTTTTTGCGGTGTGCGGGCCTCTCACTGTTGTGGCTCTCCCGTTGCGGAGCACAGGCTCTGGACGTGCAGGCTCAGCGGCCATGATTCACGGGCCTAGCCGCTGCGCGGCATGTGGGATCTTCCTGGACCGGGGCACAAACCCGTGTTCCCTGCATCGGCAGGCGGACTGTAAACCACTGCGCCACCAGGGAAGCCCTAGAAATGAATTCTTGTTCAAAATATTCCAAATCAGTTTACAAACTAATTATACAAATTAGGCTCATTACTGCATGGTAAGTTACTGAGAAAGATCACATATCATTTATCTTGATTACCCACTTCATTCACTAAACTTGGTTGCAAGTAACTTTAAGCTTTTTACAAAAAAATCAAATGCTCTCAGAATAGACTTGTATCAAAAGAATCTGGTATATAAGCTGTCAGGGAATTTCTGAAAGAGAAGTTTCAAGATATTTTGTGTAATGGAATACCTTCATTAGAATAAGTCTGTATCTCTGCTTTGAAGACACTAAACATTTATTTGGATAAGTACGTTCTTATATTTTTTCCCCCAACTGGAAGTATTTTATTGTCCTTTGACTTTTTTTTTTAATAAAGAAGAGCTCCCTTAAATTTCTACTGATAGGTTTCATAGCAACCACCATAAGCATAAAACGTGATTCTGTTTGTGCCTATTTCTGGTAATCTGAACTACTACATAGTGAAGCACACAGGCAGCACTATCTGCTGGCTTATAAAAAGGACTGGTTTACATTCAATCTGTTCCTTGCTGCTAATGGCCTGAACTACTCCTTGGCAGTTATTCTGTTAGCTTAAGAAGAAAAGTAATGAAAATGCAGTGGGGTCTGAAGCTATAAGAGTACTTACTGGGCTTCCCTGGTAGCATAGTGGTTAAGAATCCGCCTGCCAGTGCAGGGGACACGGGTTCGAGCCCTGGTCCGGGAAGATCCCACATGCCGTGGAGCAGCTAAGCCCGTGCGCCACAACTACTGAGCCTGCGCTCTAGAGCCTGCGAGCCACAACTACTGAGCCCGTGTGCCACAACTACTGAGGTCTGCACACCTAGAGCCTGTGCTCTGCAACAAGAGAAGCCACCACAATGAGAAGTCCGCACACCACAACAAAGAGCGGCCCCCGCTTGCCGCAACTAGAGAAAGCCCACTCACAGCAACGAAGACCCAACGCAGCCAAAAATAAATAAATAAAATAAATAAATTAAAAAAAAAGAGTACTTACTCTACCTGAAGATTTTCTAGTTTCAATTTAACGATAACTATTAGAATTTTAACAAGAATTTTACTTCCATTAAACTCAAGAAACATTTTTTGCTGAGCTTACAGTTAATGTAAATAAGTCTACATAACCATAAAGTTTCTCCCAAAATAAAAAGCATTCTTGAGCTGTGATTTTAGCAGACTTAAGTTTTCATGAGTCAAAATGTCAAATATTTTAATAAAACCCTGGCTCTGAAAAACCTGAACTGAACAGCCCTCTGAACACGAAGTCCGGGTCCTCACCAACTCACGCCAACTGCCTCTACCGTTTCCATCAGGTGCTCCCGCTGCCTCTTCCACTATGTCAGTCCTTTCACTTCAGAAACCTTCACTGGTTTCCTCCAGTTCCTTACACATCTCACAGGGTCAATCACAAAGACTAATTCTCAACAGGAAGCTCCTAATACAGTCAGTCTAACCACCCTAAGACCCATGAATTGCTGGTTTGCTCTTTTCCCTACAAGTCATGCCTTCTACGTTTCTTTCCATTTTTCCCAGTTTGATCTCCCTTCTCTAATTCCTACTGCACTGAAAGCATTTCAGAATGAGCACTTCTATGTATAGTTTTACACTTTCTTTCCTATCTATCTGTCTTATCTCCCAAGGAAACTGTACACAACATGTAAGCACAGACCATGCCCTTCAGTGGCCACAGAAATGAAGTGCCAGGCCCACAGGGGCCTCCATAAACACACTGAAAACCTACCACAGTGCAGGAGGTTGGAGGTCATGCTCCATCTGATAGCAAAGGAAACAAACTCGAGACAAAATAAAACACCTTGTGTCATATGACCAGCTTGTCAGAGTCGGGACTGTAACTCTGGTCTCTAGGTTCCACGCTTAGTGCTCTTGACCAATTTAAGGGGAAAAACATTTTTAACTTTAATAACTTTTAATAAAGTCCTAACACATTGAGTGATTCTATTGGTAAATATTTTCCAAATATAAAAATGGTTTACCCTCAAATCACTGTAGATGAACTCTACTTACTCTCAACAGAAGAGATTACATTTGGTTCTAGTTAGGAGAAATTTTACACACGTGTCTAAAAATTTAATTCTTTCTCCTTAATAAAAAAGTATTCTAATTTCTAGAGCTGTCCAATAAGGAGGCTTTAAAAAAAATCTCATTCAAAATGTTACTTGCAAATTAAATTAAAATATTGACTTAAAAAACTTAAGCCAATAAAAGCTTATGCCAGAAACAGTCAAAGAGAAGGACACAGTTAACTGCTTCAAAGTACTTCATATAATTCCAATACAGATTTCACCAAAATGCATGTGATATAACCTCATCAATTTACATCTGTCATTTTATTTTCTGCACATTTATTTAAAATATAAGGATGTGCGGAAATCTTACCTTCTTGATAGGCTCCATCTGCCATAACTAAATGAAGAATCTTAGAATAAAGATGCTGATGTTCATTTCCCAAAAGATTCTGAACTACTGTTGAACAAATCTCAATATTTTCATCTTCATCTTCATGAACAGCCTATACCAAATGTCCAAATATAAATTAATATTTGAATGTTAATCTCCTCTAATTGGAGACTTTGTTTATTATTTATAATGGGTCTACTGACTAATAAAAATCACTGACATTTCACTAGTAATTCAAACAGAGCATATTTCAAAATTAAACGTTTTAAGTGACATTTTACTCACTTTTATTTTCTCGTAAACCTCAAAGAACTTTTCGAAGCCTATTTCCTGCTCTAGGTGAAGCCTTAGTTCCTCTAAATGATTAAAGACACTGTCGTATTCACATTCACTAGTTATCTCACCATCACTGTTATCTAAAAAACATAAATAAAAAAGAAGACATTTTATGATGTAAAAGACTGAATAAAATAATTCTTACCATAACTGATTAAAATCCTATGACACGTGAATACTGTCATTGATAGACTACTTGTACGTTCAATATAAAGTTTCTGTCATTATAATACTTGTCATTTATACAGGTAATCAATGTATGTATATATAAATTTGTCTTAACAGGAATGTTACTTTAGAAATCTTTTCTTTTATAGACATAAACAGTAAGTCAGGTTAGAATAAAAACTATTCCAAGAGATGTCACTGAATTTAGCTAAAAAAAAAAAAAAAAGGAAAAAGCATACCCATATGTTCTGCACTGAGGCAACCAACCCTATTTTTAAAAACTTGATATTAAAAATAGGGCCAAACATGAATGAGCACATAGATGACCTAAGATGTATATCATAAAACTTGGAAGGCACTTAAAAAGTATTATAAATGCTTTATATGTTTTATGTCATGTACATGCCCAAGGTAATTTGAAAAATTCTAGTAAAAGAAAAATGAATGCAGAATCACTCTTTTTCACATTACCTCTTCTCAAATCAATCGTTATTTAAATACACAAATTTTCTATGCATCTTAGGGTCAATGATATGAACAAGGAACTGTTTCCAAACAAAAAAAAAAAGTGTCAAGGTTTTAAAAACTCTTTCAGTTTAACCCTGTTGGTTAAGCACTGTATGTGGAAGCCCTTTGTAAAACACAAAGGGCTAAGAAAACTAAGTTACTATCTTTATTACTAGGAAAATAAGAAGTGGAGGATAACAGGATAAAAATGCTTCAAAAAAGCATTTCCATACTTCAGTGGAAAAGAAATGGGACAACTTTGTATGCGGACTGTGTGAGAAGAGAGTGAACGCAAGTCAGCGATGCAGAGCAGGCTTCAGTCTCACTTAAGGCTGGAAGGGGCTCGTGTTGGAGGCCAGAAAGAGACACGCTGCTTGCAGTGTGGGCCACCACGCACCCGAGTGCCACTCCTCGTTGAGAGCGCTCTCGCTGCTAGGGCTGTCGTACTCATCGCCCGCGTCCGTGCCGTTGGCGGCCTGCTCCGCGTCGCTGGTCTTCAGGCCCGAACCCTCCTCCTCACTGTAGTCCTCCCCAGGCTGCTCCCGCAGCAGCTGCTCCATGGAGGCCTGAAGCTCTTGTAAGTCTGTGTCAGCCTCTTCAAACACACTGAGAATTGAAAATTAAATGGAACGTTACCAAACTTTACCTTTCTGAAATTTTACTTCAACTCAATATACATGCGCTCCTTTCTACTTAAAAGTACTCGTTGTGGGTAAAAAGAAATCTGAAAAAACACATAGTTTTTAACAAAGGAAATGAGGATTCACACAATTGATAAATAAAGCACACGACACATCTTCTGGAATATGTACGCCCAAAGATGACTTGTATAAAATGGTCCTGATTTGTCAGAGAGAATCACGTAACTATCAACATTATTAATTCTTTAAGTTTTGAAAGAATGCTTCAATATTGAAGAGCCAGACTAAATATTTTTCTTTCATGTAGTTTTGAAGGTTCAGCAAAATCTTGGTGTGGATGTGCGACAGCTGGGAACTAGCCTCACTGCGGGGGTCTTGCCCTCCAGGCACTGCCCAGAGTATTAATTCTACTTTTGTGCAATTACAGATGCTGAAATGAACTGATTTATGCAAGTAATATCTTACATTCATATAATACCTTAGTTATTAAAGCTGTTTATCCTATTTAAATTTTATCCATACAAAACTCACTTTAGAAACATGGAAACTATGAATCAAGGTGCTCAAGTGACTTGTCAAGGCCACGTGGTCAATAAATGACAAAAACGACACTGAGATTTAGGCCTTCTGACCACGTCTACAAGACCCAAGAAGCACACTCGGCAGCTCCATTCCCCCGAGGAGCTGCTTCTTTCTCCCTGGGGCAAGCAAAAGGAAGAACTTGTAGACTAACAGTTAATTCGAGTTTTAGATACATAAAGTCCTCTGAAAGATTAGGGACCCACAGTGAGTATTTCAATAGTGGAAAAGCAGTATTAAGCGGAACACAAGGCTGATGAAGCCCTTTCTTAAAGTTTAGACTCTAACTGAATAAACAATTCAATACTTACTGAAGAACTGAAACATGAATATTATTATGTGAGACCTCATACAAAATTCTCATTAACAGAAAAATAATTTTTAATGTAGAAATATCTTTATTTTGTACATATGTGTACAAACTCCTACACTTTGACTTTGCAGCACTTAAAGAAAAGCAAACACCATCCAATTAGAATGAGAAGGACAGTGTCTAATCTTTTGGATCGTCCTTCTAGGAGCATTTAGCTTGATATTTAATTACCAGACCTACAGACCAGCACATCCGCTAGGTGCCACTGCTATGTGGCCAGGCATCAACCTGTTGGTAAGATCTTCCTGTAGAGGAATTAGTTTCCACCACAGATGGTATTAAAGCGCGTGGGCTGCTAACTACGCCCGTGTAAGAAAAGTGTAAGAGGATTAAGATTTTTTATGAAATGAGCACTCAGAAAATTGACTCAGGTACTTTAAAACCTGGTCCTGAATTTTCTTTTTAGTAGGTTTTATTATATGATCATAAATAAAGTTTGGATCAAAAAAATGCATATTTTCTAAAGAAAAATGTCAAGTGAAATTTCCCTATATGCATATGGAGTAACTTACTTGGAAAAAAACTTACTTTTCAAATTTTAAAAATAACCTTAAAAGCTTCTAACTTAAATTTTAAAATAAAATTCTGTCATCAACTAGTAATTAAAAGAATATAAGCCACAAATAAGCTATATTCACTCAGATAAAAACTGATGACTTATAAAACCTCCGAGGAAAAAACTGTTACCAAGGATTTTGTCAACCACAGAGATGCTGAAATGTTGTCCTGTTATCCAACAGGCTTAATAAAAATACAACATAAAGTGCTTAATGACCACAGCCAAGCAGAAGAAGCGAGGATAAAATGGTAACTTTTCCTCCAAATTTTTTTTTTTTTTTTTTTTTTTTTTTTTTTGCGGTACACGGGCCTCTCACTGTTGTGGCCTCTACCATTGCGGAGCGCAGGCTCAGCGGCCATGGCTCACAGGCCCAGCCGCTCCGTGGCATGTGGGATCTTCCCGGACCGGGGCACGAACCCGTGTCCCCTGCATCGGCAGGCGGACTCTCAACCACTGCGCCACCAGGGAAGCCCTTCCTCCAAATTTTGAGGGCATCAGCAAAAATCTACAGAACTCTATGGGGGGCGGGGGAATGTCAACCTTTATTTTATTTATTTTTTTGGCAACACTGTGTGGCCTGTGGGATCTTAGTTCCCCGACCAGGGGTTGAACCCGGGCCCTCGGCAGTGAGAGCATGGAGTCCTAACCACTGGATAGCCAGAGAATTCAAAAGTCAGCCTTTGAAAGATAAAGTTTGGCTAGAAATTTAAAAAGAAAGGGCAAGCCTTAAGAAAAACAAAAACAGAAAATAAAATGCACCAGATGCAGTGCCCGGCTCAAGAATTAGAGGGAGAAAAATCATGAGACTGATATCATGCTTTCAATTAGATCAAAACACACATTGTTTCTACTGAAAGGCAGAGGTAAAAAGGAGAAACTTAAATTCAAACAAATCAAAAAATAAATCATAAAAATTATAGCATTTTGCAACCTATTTTCCCGGTGACTTGAATACACTTCTTGAACACTCTGGTTTTCTTTCCCCCCAAACGCTGTAACATTTGTCGGATAGGCTGAGAAGGCTGACTGCTATCAAGGAAAGTGAAGGGGTATTACTGTCCAAGGAGCTGCCAGTTCCTAGCTCTTTCAGGAGTGTTGTTAAATTTTCCTCTGAGATTCTGGATTCCTCAGGCATTAATAAGGAGGGAATTTTGTGAAGGCAGTTAAGTGCAGAGCTCACATGTGAGCATGTGCGCACACATACACACACACACACTATTCCACCTGCTAACTCCCCACTGCCATGGTTTTGAAATCACAGCCGGCAGGAGACAGATGTGGAGCTTTCTGGCATCTTCCTGGGGAAGAGTAGAGTAGTGAGTCCTTCAGTTCCCCACTGCAATCCCTGTACCATGTGGCATCAAACTACCAAACAGTCATTATCCTGCTGAGGTTCACTCAATTAAGCACCCACATCAAGCGTTGTGATGGGTGCTCAGTGGCCAGTAAGACAGAGAACACAATGGTGACCCTGTCCTTACATTCCTCAAGTGACATTAAGTTACAGTATTTAGAGGCAGACACACATATCAAAGTTTACTTGACTGTACTTTAAAATACATTGTAAAAAGTTAAAGGAGTAGTGCAAGGTCAGCTACAGATCATGTTTGAAAACTGTGGTGAGTCTCCATCTCTAGAACATGTGTAAATTCAGAAATCCTGTTAGTGTCGGTATCTACAAATGTCATCATGCTCACATGTCCTCGGAGTCGGAAGGTCCTTCCTTAACATGCTCATCTTCCATTTCATCCATTTCAAGATTGTCCTGACGTCCATCTCCGACTATGGGGACATCCATCAGTGTTCTGAACAGCTTTGAGAGGTCTGGAAGTGAACATGTCCTCAACATCTATAAAAAGGCAGCCGATATCTTATTAGGAGTGAGACAGTGAGAAAATTAAAGCGAGAGAAAAAATTAGAAAATTGGAGCTAATAATAATTTTGTTATTTATATATACATATCAATCATCCATTTAAAGCTAGAAGCTTCAGGGGCGACTTGCCTAAGCTGAGAACCTACTTCTCTTGAACTTCAGCTCAGTGTTTTTTCAGTGATGAAAGTAAGCTTGCGAGTTCTGCTTGGGTTTCAATGTGAAGTGGACTTTAAAAGGTAGAGAGGGTGTTTATCTGGGGTGTGCACATGGAGGGAGCTGGAGCTGGAGCGGGGTCAGGCCCTGCCACCCCTTGGCCACAGCACCCCTCCTGAGTCTTCCTCTCACTTCTCGACGTCCAATGCGCTCCAGGTACTTTTGCCCAAGCTTGGCTAAGCAGCACCCCACACAACTGGTGGCCCTTAGTGTCCCTTTGCCCTAACAGATGCTGGGTGGCCAACAGCTTAAGGCAGGGCCTCCAGTTAGTGCAAAGAAGAGCCCACTGGGGCCTCCCTGAGCAGCGGGCTGCAAGCAGGGACTGCGAGCAGCGAGCGCCTTTCCCACCAGAAAGGACGGCTGGGAAGATAGGCACCTCCAAGTTCACACTGACAGCACCTGGAGCAGCAGGGTGAGGAAGAGCCCAGCACACCGTGATGAGACAGCACAACATGGAGGAGGTGCCTGAAACGTGAACCGTGCTGGGTAAGACCAGGATAACAGGAACAGCCTCTGTCCAGCACCCTTTCCACAGGGAACGTGACAGACAGACAGGGCTATGGCACACACATCTACAGAAGTCAGTCTCAGGGCTGGTCAACCCCAAAGGGGTCGGTAAGATCTGAAACGTGACTCCTAAGGCCCCGATAAGAGCCCAGCACCAGATGGGAGACTGTGCAGAACTCACAATGTTTGGCACATTAATGAAAATGTATATACTTGGCCAATTTTATTGGTACAATCTGTTAGTGAGAATAAAAAGGAATAGACTTCTATTATTTGAACGTAATTTACATATCACAGCACTCGAGAAAAAAAATGGTGATGCGCTACAAGATGGCGCAGATACACTGCCTGGTTAAAGCACTTAACAATGGTACCGTCAGCAGAATTTACGCTTGACTTGTTTGTTATTTTAATGGTTTGAGCCACATATTTTATAAACCTGGGGTATGCAAAATATGCAGCCACTAACAGTTTACCCAGATACATGCTAATCGATAAAAATAAATAGCATATACGCATTATATACCTAAATACAAGGGGACTACACAAAAGGATGCAATATTTTTCAGGCTGAGATAAATTTTAGCCCTGGTAAAATCATCTCAATTCTAGTTTATTCCTGTCAATAATTAAAATAAACTTCATCACCTAACATAAAATAATAGGGTTAGAAAGAAATTTCAAGTGGTCTGTACCTCTGGGAATGGGTTTACACACCCATCAATCCAACAGTTCCCAAAGGTCCTGTATTTAAAATCCTAAAGTTCACAGTCTTCCCTAACAGACTGCTAAAGTTTTAGACAAGATATTCATCTTCATAAGAAGAATTTTATATAAGAACACTTCCAGTTCTGTAATTCTGAGTCTACTAGATTTCTTTCATAATGTTTAAATAATATTCTATAGTTCTGACATTAATAGAAAGAAATCCTCCTGAAAATAGTTATTAATCCAGAACATGTTGCCTGAGATATTACTTCATTTATAGTCAGACTCATTTTTTCCAAAATTTTTTGTAGTATGATTACTTATGCAGCTAGCATTTGGTACCATTATAAATCAAACAGGAAACCAATGTTTTAAAAAACCTTAAAACCTTAAAAAAAATGCAGTTCCTTTAGATCTTTCACTGTTGGTTCTATTTTCTCTCAAAAATGAAGACAACCACATAAAGAATGAATGAATTTAGTAGTAGTTGCACTAATAGAACTTCACATGAAATTCTACTTAATTCCATCAACTCAGTTTTTCATCTGTAGTATTTTTAATATAAAATGTTAGTAATCCTCTGGCTGTACTATAAAATAGTTTATGATGAGCACATTTATTTAGCTTCTGCTTACTGCAATTCAATGGTAACACTACACCCTCAAAATAGCTTGTACAAATACTTGCTCACTTCAACCCATAAACGAGGTTAAAAATGGACTTAAAACATTAAAAAATTATGAACACTTACAAAAGGCAAAAATTACAGACATTTTCTAAGAATTGATATTTTAGCAAATCAAAAGAAGACATTTAAGGCACTTGTGTTATTTGTGAATTGTATATTAATATTTACTTTCCCTCACTCTGCATTTGCTATAACAAGAAAATAAATTCTCCAGTTTTCATAGAGATCAGTCTTCCACTCTACTCCCCACATGAGATCACTAGAAGGTCTCATCTTTACAGTATTTCATCCTGACCTATTACAAATTTACCTTCAGTAATCTTCATTTATGTGTTATACTCTCAATTTTGTTAAGTCACTCTGTTACAACTGCCTTATGAAAGCTGCCACTGTATTTATGGTGTTTCTTGTCAGAAACAGTGCAGCCCAGAAGACAATGTAAGTCTAGATCTAGTAGAAATACCCTTTCAAAGTGAAAGTGAAATTAAAATGTTTTTAAATAAACAAAAGTTAAAAAAAAATCATCACCAACAGGGACACAAGAAGTGTCAGAGAAGTTCTTAAAGTGGTAGAAAAATAATACCAGATAAAAATTCGAATTCTACACAAAGGGATGAAGAATGTTAGAAATGGTTAATATGTAAATATAAAAGACTTGCTTTCTCAATTTTTACTTTCGGTGAAAGATAATTGAATGCTGAAAGCAAAAACAATAGAAATGTATTGTGGAATTTATAATACATGCAGAAATAAAACACATGGCAACAATTCCACAAAGGATAGGCAAGAGTAGGGGAATCGAAATGTACTGTTGTAAGGCTCTGATGCTATTCGTGACATGGTACAATATTTGAAGGCAGACTAGGATAAACTAAAGATTTATACTGAAAACTGAGAATGACCATTAATGTTTTTTAAAGTCTACTTTATAAGCAAATAGTAGAGATTAAATAAAATACTAAAAATACTCAACCCAAAGGGGAGAATAAAAGTAAAAAAGGAATGAAAGAAGTAATGAGACAAATAGAAAATAGCAAAATGATAAGTTTAAACTCAATCATAATGATAATATATTGAAAATTACACTAAATATAAATGGTCTAACCACTTTAATTAAAAGACTGTCAGAATGTTAAAAAGCAAGACTCAACTATATGACAACTACAAGAAGTCTATATGAAATAAGTATGATTAAAAGTAAAGGATGGGGCTTCCCTGGTGGTGCAGTGGTTGGGAGTCTGCCTGCTGATGCAGGGGACAAGGGTTCGTGCCCCGGTCTGGGAGGATCCCACATGCCGTGGAGTGGCTGGGCCCGTGAGCCATGGCCGCTGAGCCTGCGCATCCGGAGCCTGTGCTCCGCAGCAGGAGAGGCCACAACAGTGAGAGGCCTGCGTACTGCAAAAAAAAAAAAAAAAAGTAAAGGATGTAGGGACTTCCCTGGTGGTGCAGTGGTTAAGAATCTGCCTGCCAATGCAGGAGACACAGGTTTGAACCCTGGTCTGGGAAGATCCCACATGCCATGGAGCAACTAAGCCCGTGCGGTACAGCTACTGAGCCTGTGCTCTAGAGCCTGTGAGCCACAACTACTGAGCCCACATGCCACAACTACTGAAGCTCACACGCTTAGAGCCCGTGCTCTGCAACAAGAGAAGCCACTGCAATGAGAAGCCCGCGCACCACAATGGAGAGTAGCCCCCACTCACCGCAACTAGAGAAAGCCCGTGTGCAGCAACGAAGACTCAATGCAGCCAAAAGTAAATAAATTAATTTAAAAAAAAACGTAAAGGATGTAAAAATATATACCATATAAACACTAAGCATAAGAAAGCTAGAATGGCTATGTTAAAACCAGGCAAAGTAGATTTCAGAACAAGGTGATAGGATCAGGGATAAAGTGAGTCATTTCATAATGATAAAGGGGTCAATTTATAAAGAAGACATAAATATTATTAATTTACATTCAATTGACTGGAAATGTCAACAGTGTTTTCCCAGTAATTGATAAACAAGTAGAAAGAAAAGAAAAAGGATACAGAAGACTTGAACAACACTATTCCAGAGTTGATGCTTCATAACAATAAATGTATCAATTCACCCAGAAGACAGAACAATACAAAATTCTTATTCAGTCAGTAACAGAGCTTCAAAATACATGGAGCAAAAGTTGACAGAACTGAAAGGAGAAATAGATAGTTATGCAAATATAGTTAAAATTTTCAATCTTCTTTTCTCAGCAACTAATAGTTAATGTAGACCAAAAAAATCAGTCAAGATAAAGAAAAATGAACAACACCACTGGACTTAATTTTTGACATTTACAGAACAATTCACCTAACGACAGAAGAGTCTATACTCTTTTAAGGAGATCTGTTAGTAGGAGTGTCTGCAGCAAAGGAAACCGGAGAGTGACAATGAATGCAGAGGAAAACCAGGAAAGTATGATACGCAGGATGCCTACAGATAAAATGATTATAAAAGAAGGTGTATATCAACTCTGTTGAAAGAAAAGTCAAGAAAGGTGAGAGAAAAAGGTACAGGGAACTTGATAATGTACTAATAATTGGTGATTTTGGCAAGAGAAGCTTCAGTGGAGAAGTGGGCTGACAACCACACTGGAATGTACTGGGAAGTGAGTGGTGGGGACACTGCAAAAATACAACAAAGAGAAGTGCAGTGGGAGCAGGGGAGGACGTGTGCTTACGGGAAGTTTGCCATTTATGTTGGGACCTGTTAGAGCAGGTGTCCTGTGGGAATAACCCATCACAGAGAAAGACGTTCATGACGCAGGCTGGAGGGCAAAAGTAAAGGAGTGACTTCTTTAAGAAGGTGAGGGAGGTTAGGATCCAAAGCTCAAGAAGGATTTCCTTTAATAAAAAAAAGGACAAAAGTAGTATGACTTAACATTTAAAAAAAAAAAAAACTTTTAACAAAAATCTCTGTAGGAGGTTAAATTATCCCATTTTAGTAAATGGATTATATAAACGCTTATAAATAGTTTTCACCTTTTCTTCATGATTCAAAGCCACCATTACGAACACTGATTATTTACTATTTTGGCACAGTGATGAACTCTCATGATCTCAGAAATTTACGGGACAGGCAGGCATGGCTTTCTGTCCTTGCCTTAAATGGCTATAGACTGCTTTGATTTTCCAGAGATTTTTCTTGTCCTCTCCCTCTACATGAAATCTGCTTTGCTGTAAGTCCAGAGTAAGTACTTCTACAGAACTACTAAGGCTGAACTAAGGTCATGAAAGGAAATCAAGCAATCAAATGTATTATTCAGTTAAAAGTCCATTAACTTTTATAGACAGCAGTAAGTTATTAAAAAGCTTTGGGATAAAGAAAGCTATACACCTTCACGACAAAAGTAAGTACATGAATCATACGGTGATCGTTTTCTGCCCACCAAGGATACGCTAAGTTTACACCTTTGAAAATCTGAATGCTATCAGATAAGTGAGAGAATTTAGCCGTCTCTACATTTAAGAAAATCATAAGAAAATACTCCACAAAGTAAAAACATATCCATCTGGAAAGTTAAACTGAAAATCATTTCTCATTTAAAAAATATTTTAAAAACAGTTAAGGACAAGAGAATTCAGGTAATTCATTTATATGCAGAGTTAAATATATGAAAAATGTTCAACTCACTGGTAAAAACAGAAATATAAACTTTAAGGAGTTGATACCATTACTCATTCATTAAACACACAATTTTTAAGTAAATGATAATAGTTGGTATTATTTAGAGTATGAACTCTCACATACTATTTATAGCACTATACAATGTTTCTTGAAGGAAAATCAGACATTATACAATATATCCTTTTGAATTACACTTACAAAAATTTATTTTATGGAAATAATTGTGGATATGAACAAAGATATAGATGAATGTGGTTATAACAACAACGAAAATTGAAATCTAAAGGCCCAACAATGAAAACAGATTAAAGAAAGCATGATATAGCAAAACAATGGAATTTGTTGCCCTTCAGAAGGATATGAGAGAATACTTGACAATATGACAAAATGCTGTTTTTGTAAAAATAACATTTGTAATAATTTTATAATATGTACTAAATAGAAAAGCAGGTTACAAAAAGAGTATGCATGACATCCTATTTTGTTAAAAAGCTACATATATGTAAAAATTACATATATGAAAAGTAATATAACAAAATGATATGTGATTACTTACATTTCTAAATTTTCTATAATGTTCTAATCTCTTAATAAGAAAAAAATTGATTACATATTTTTAAAACAGAGAGTGAGAAAAGGTAAGAGGTCTGGAAAACTTTTACCAGAAAGTGCAGATGCACATCTACTAATCCTTCTAGGTATAAATTAGGCAACACAGCACTTCCATCCCTTTAAGACATAATGCTCAAGCTTAGTCTAATACTAAAAATGGAATTTGGGTTGGGAATGGGAAAGGGGGACAGAATAAGAGGGTGTTAAGAGGGATGTTCTGCTCAAATAAAAGTAGACCTTATGAAGAGACCCTGCACATGGAGCCAATGAGGCAGCCTTTGTCCTAGCTGTACTCTCAATGGCAATTTCTTTTCAGTATTGGAGAGAAGATGGAGGGGTTTTCTTGTTTCTGTTTATTTTGATGAGTGTGCTTTTGTGTGTATGTGTTTGTGTTTTTAAGGGATTAAAACTCAATATTATAGCTTATCAAAGAAAAATAGTAAATGTGAAATGTTATCAAATGGATAACGTTTTCCATCTGAGGAGCATACTTGCCTTTGGGTTGTTTGCATCAAATAGACCAGTTGAAAGTCCAATCAGCAAGGAATTCTGTTTTTTATTTCTTCGTGGTGAACCAGAGTGAGATCGAAGTGGAGAGGATTCTTCTGGTGAACAAAGGACTGACTGGACTTGAGAGGCTGCTTTCAAGTGTTTATGGAAAAATGGTTCTGGTTGCATAGATTCATCTACATCACACTCAGAGTGTGGAGAACCATCCACTCCAGGTTCTGTGGAATAAAGGAAAGATTACATGACAAGTCTATACAGTACTTAATGTGCTAAGTGATACTGAAATAGTACACTATTTAACATGAATCATAGCAAAAAACTTCATGAAAAAAAAATCAAATATACATGTGATTTTATTACCTTATAAATAATCTTTTACCGGGTATGTTTTATTTTCAGAAAGGAGATTTAATTTGTTAAATCCTTCCATTATAACGGAAGTTCCAAAATGTGACACAAATGCAAGGACATGTGAAAAAGTACTGTTTAAACACTCAACAGCTCCAGGTTATCTTTGTTCCTATAGGTTAGATATTAAAAAATTGTACTTCTTATATTTTAATTAGTACTATTAGAAATAAGAAGACCACTTATTTAATGTCCTGAGATACTGGCTTAGCTTTGGCAAGCAATTCTTTTTGTTTTGAACATTCAGTAAGATAACTGACCAAAAAGTTACACTGCCCACATTGCCAAACAATACAGGCTTATAAATGCAGAGTCCAGCAGCCATAAAAAAGAATGAAATTCTGCCATTTGCAGCAACATGGACCTGGAGAAAATAATGCTTAGTGAAATAAGTCAGGCAGAGAAAGACAAATACTGTACGATATAACTTATATGTGGAATATAAAAAATAATACAAATGAAGCTATGTACAAAACAGAAACAAATTCACAAACAGAGAAAACAACCTTGTGTTTACCAAAAGGGAGAGGGAGCGGGAAGGACAAATTAGGAGTATGGGGTTAACAGATACACACTACTGTGCATAAAATAGATACCTTGTAATAACCCAATATCTTGTAATAACCTATAATGGAATCTAATCTGCAAATTAAAAAAAATGAATCACTATGCTGTACACCTGAAACTAACACAATATTGTAAATCGACTATACTTCAAAAAAAAACAATAAAAAAATAAATGTGGAGTCCAGTGCTCTATGCCTATTATATTTTTTAGATAATTCAGGTTAGTGGTTAGTGATGCTCTCTATTAATATATAGTCCAAATAGAACAGGTTAGTGCTAACGACCTTCCAGAAAGTAATCAGGCCAATACAGTGATGCTCACCTACGTGAACTTCACCAAGGTGATCCATGCTCCTTGGGGCTCCATCTTCAGAAACTTCATTTTGCTGAATGGTGATCCTATCTTCCAACCTGCCACAAATAGAAACACCAGTTAAGAAAACATGGTTTACTAGAAATAAAAACACTCTCAAATACAAAAGAGTGGGAGAAACAAAAAGAGTGGAACACAAGTTCACTAGAGCCCTGTGATCCCTCTTCTGAATACTCTTCTCACTTATACACACACTGTCTCTCATAAGCACAATCCTACGTTTCAGCCGTTCAAACCTTCACCAGTCACACTCATTCACAACAACCAGGCTCAACATTCTCATCCCAGTGGTTCCCAAAGTGCAGCCCCTAGACGTCAGCAACACATGGAGACCTGTGTGAAATGCAAATTCTCAGGCCCTGCCCTAGTCCTGTGAGTCAGGAACTTTGGGGGATAAGGCTGAGACAGCTGTTTTAAAATGTTGCAATGTTTGAGAACCACTTCTGTAAGCAATCAAAATGCCTTTAATATCAGAGAATAGAAAACAATGATGATATACACTATGAAATATTATACAGCTATTTAAAAAATGAAGTAGAGATCTGTATAACCAGATATGGAATGACAGTCAAGATATATTATTAAGTAAGCAATTTTCAGACCAATTTATATTAAATGGTGTTAGGATTTGAAAAAATGCTGGGTAGCACAGTAAAAGGAATAGAATAATATGCACAAAAACGTTTTAACCCTTAAAGGGAATGAATTGATTTATGTAAAGAAAGACTCACAATTTTTATCTCAATACATGCTGGGAACTAAATGGATGTATTAATTTTTTAACAAAAATGTAAAAACTAGAAAAATATACTGCAAAAGTTGCCAGTAATTTATTTCTGGGGTTTTCGTTTATAAGGCAGTTTTAATTTTGCTAGTACTTTTTAGTCCATTTCAAATTTAAATAATTTTTCACTTTTTCAGTTATAAATTTTGAGCAATTTTCTATTTTTATTTCTAAAAGTTTTTCTTTATTTTTAATCATACAAGTAATACATTTCTTCATTTGAAATGTAATGTTCCTTGGTTCCTCAAAAAGTGAAACATAAAATTACCATATGCTGTGCCAATTCCACTCCTAAATATATATACTCAAAAGAATTGAATACAGGTGTGCAAACATAGAATTGTACACAATGTTCATAGCAGTACTATTCAAAAGAACCAAAAGGCAGAAGCAACTCTTGAAATGACCCACCATCATCTGCTGAATGTCGTAAACTGCTCAATGGATAAACATATAGGGTATATTCATATAATGGAATATTATTCAGCTATAAAAAGGAATGAAGAACTGATACATCCTAAAACACAGATAAGCCTTGCAAACAGTATGATAAGTAAAAGAAGCCAGATGCAAAAAGCCACACACTGTACGGTTCCACAGGAAATGTCAAATCTAGAATAGGCAAATCCACAGAGATAGAAGCACATCAGTGGTGCCAGGGGCTGGGGGAGGGGAACATGGGGAGTGGCTGCTTATGGGCACAGGGGTTCCTTTGGGGTTGAGAGAATGTTCTGGAACCATATAGTGGCAAACTGTATACTTTAAAATGATTAAAATGATAAATTTTATGTTATATAAATTTTATCTTAATTTTAAAAAAGTGATTCTTTTAGGAGTCCCCTAACCACTCAATTCCCAGTTGCCTTTACTGTTATCAATTTTGTGTACATCTTACCATACTTTTCCCTTAAGTTTACATACATGTATATTCACTTAAGGATATATAATAATTTTAATAGGATTATCATAGCATTACTCTAATATATGGAAATGATTTTATTCAATATAATTTTATTCTGTTAATCATTCAATATTTTGACATATTTCCATATTAATACATAGAGCTCCATTTTATTTCAGTGCTGCATACCCACTATGCAGTATACTGAGAACAGTATTTTAGCTACTTCCATATTAATGATTATTTAGACTATTTCAAATGATTTCCTATGACTCTCCTGCAATAAACATGCTTGCACAGCTTTACATCCATGTCCAAGTCCAGCCCACCTCCTGTTTTCACAGATAAAGTTGCACTGGAGCAGCCATGCTCACCTGTTTATGTGTTACCTATGGCTGCTTTTGCAGAACAAAGGCAGAACTGAACAACTGCATCACAGACCATATGGTCTACACGGTCAAAAAAGTTTACAATCTGGCCCTTTACAGAAAACATTTGACAATCCCTGTTACAAGCACAGCAAAGGAAGGAACTTCCAATTACTTTTTAAGAAGGAAGATAAAAAGAACACCAAAATACAACAGTGATTTCCCATGACGAAAGGGAACTACAGATGACTCTCCAGAGTACTAATGCAAAAATTCTAAAATGAACCATTAGCAAACAGAAGTACATTAAAATAGTAGCACATCATGGCCAAGTAGAGTTTACTAAGGTATGCAGGATAGTTCAATATTAGGTAACCTATTAATATAATTCATTATACCAATAGATAAAGGAAAACAATTATATGAATGGTTCCATATGAATGGTTCCAATGGTTCCATAATTATCAAAATCCATAGATACCGAAAGGTCATTTGACAAAATACACTCCTGACTTTTTTAGCCAGTAAAATATGAGTAGATACTGCTCTGAGCTAGAAATTACAGTTATGCCTAACGAGGATTAACATTAGAATCATTTCACTGAAATTAAGAACAAGACAAAGATAGCCCTATTTCCAATATTTAACACTGTATAAAAGGTGTACTAAGCAATGCAACTGGAGAGAAAGAAATGAGTGTTAAAAAATACTGGAAAGGGCTTCCCTGGTGGCGCAGTGGTTCAGAGTCCGCCTGCCGATGCAGGGGACATGTGTTCGTGCCCCGGTCTGGGAAGATCCCACATGCTGCAGAACGGCTAGGCCCGTGAGCCACGGCTGCTGAGCCTGCGCGTCCGGAGCCTGTGCTCCGCAACGGTAGAGGCCACAACAGTGAGAGGCCCGCGTACCGCAAAAACAAAACAAAACAAAAAAAACTGGAAAGACATAAAGCCATCATTATTTTCATATGATATGACTGTACAGCTGAAAAATACAAAAGATTCAACTGAAAATCTATCATGAACGATAGTAGATACCAATAAGATATGGTGGTATATAATATACCACCATATATAAAGAAATCCACAGCTTTCATACATACAACCTTCTAGTTACAAGATCTCACAGAGGAATAGGCACCATTTAAAACACCAAACAAAAGATAATAAACCTAGGAATAAGCTTACCCATGAAAGCACAAAGCCTAGATAAAGAAAACTCCCACGCTGATCATAAAACAAGGCCTATTCTGTTCTTCTTGGACAGGAAGAACACACACAGCATGTTCGTGTCCCTACATTAATTTATGATAGCATCCCGATAAAATATAAACTGATTTTTTTTATGTGAGGGAAGGTGGGCTAAATTTAATAAATTCTAAATTCAGATGAAAAATTATACGGGCAAGAAGAGCGATGAAAGTGAATAAGCCTTACATGATCTTAAAATATCTTTTATATTTTAATTAAAACAGTATGTACCAGCACACTGAACAAATATCAATGCAACAGGAAAATAAAGTATTGAGCATGAACCCAAATAATTAAGAAAATTCAGTACATGTTAAAAGTGGCATTTTATATTTGTGCAGGAAAGGTTGGGCTCTTTAATAAATGGAGTTACGGTAACTGTGTAGCCATCTGGAAGAAAAACCGAGTCCATGGACACCAGGATAAATTCCAAATAGATCAAAGCGGTAAATATAAGAAGCGCCTACATGAAAGTACCAGAAGAAAAGACTGAAATACTCTTTCAAAACCTTAGAGAAAACAAAGTTTCTCTGAATAATTATCAAAATCCAGGTAAACATGACAACGTAAAAACAAACAACCAAAAAACTTCTGCATGGCAAAAAAATAAAACATAAGTGACCAACAGTGAAAAAATAGTTACAATTCACATAATAACCAAGGCAAATATCTCTAATATTTAAGGAGTTCTTAAATTTATCAAAGACCAAACAACCAAATTTTAAAAATGGGTCAAAGATGTAAACAGGGAATTCACAGAAAAGGAAATACAAATGTGACTTAAACATCTGAAAAGATGTGCTCAACTTTACTAATAGAAAGAAAGAGATAAACTAAGACCCCAAACTGAGATACTAGTTTTTACCTATCAGGTTGGCAAAAATCAAAAACTTTGGTAATAAAATTTGGCAAGGCTGTGGGGAAAACAGGAGGTTTCATACATTCTTTCTGAGTGCATAAACTAGTACAATCCCTGGGGAGAATAATAATTGCATTTACAAAATCATACTTCTTTGTCTCTATCCTCCAGATACACAGTAGTCCCCCCTTACCCACAGGGGGATACAGTTCATGACCCCCAGTGGATGCCTGAAACATGGACAGAACCAACCCATGTTTTCTGTTCATGACTTTTACCCACAAATTTAATGTCTTTTCATCTTAACTAAGCACCTATCACACCCTGTAGGTATGACTTTTTTTTTTTTTCCCGGTATGCGGGCCTCTCACTGTTGTGGCCTCTCCCGTTGCGGAGCACAGGCTCCGGACGCGCAGGCTCAGTGGCCATGGCTCATGGGCCCAGCTGCTCCGCGGCATGTGGGATCCTCCCAGACCGGGGCACGAACCCGTATCTCCTGCTTTGGCAGGCGGACCCGTAACCACTGTGCCACCAGGGAAACCCTGTAAGTGTAACTTTTACAGTTTGAGGTTCGACAGCAAAACTAGCACAGATTTCCTTTTCCATCTTCACAACTTCACAGATAGAAGTTTCATTCTTAACATAGACCTTAGCAACCTCAGGTATACGATTTTTTTCTTTCTGTTAGGTTGAGAACTTTCACCTTTCACTTAAAGGAAGCATCTTGTGGCTTCTCTTTGGCACATCCGAACTGCTAGCATCACAACTCTTGTGCTTTGGGGCTGTCATTAAGCAAAACAATGGTCACATGAACACGAGCACTGGGACACCCGGACAGCAGATCTAATAACCCAGACGGCTACTAAGTGACTGACACGCAGGTAGCACACACAGTGTGGACACGCTGAATGAAGGGATGGTTCACGTCCTGCACAGGACACATAGGGACAGCAGGATATGCCACACCACTCAGAACAGCACACAATTTAAAACTTATGAATGTGTATTTCTGGAGTTTTCCATTTCATATTTTTGGACTGTGGTTGACGGCAGGTAATTGAAACCATGAAGAGAAAAACCCTGTTGAATAAGGGGGGATGACTATACTTATATACATGCAAAATACCCTTATTATTTAGGTTATCCACTATAGCATCATTTGTAGTATCAACAACTGTAGGAGACTAATCAGCATTATAGTATATTCATACATTGGACTACTACATAGCCATGAAATAACAAAAAAAGAGGAAGCCCTCTGTGTGTTAGTATGAAAAAATTCCCAGGTTACTGACTAAAATAAAAAATGTGTACATTATACTAACAACTGTATTTAAAAGCGAGGGAGACTGTATATTCGCTTCTGCTTCTGTTTATGTTAATATTCATTACTATTAAACATGTCTGGAAAGAAGAGAGAGTGGGAATTTGCTGGATGGGGATAGAAGTGGGAAAGAGACTTTTCACTGTTTATATTTATACACTTGTGGATTTCTGAACCACATGAATGTAATATCTATTCCCAAATTAAACTATTTTTATAAGGTATTATAATAGGATTTAATATAATATCAGGTTATTACACTATTTCTTTAAAAGGTATTAAAAAAAGGGACCAGGTTTTGAAATGTAAGAAAGAGGTAACGTACTCAGCCTCCTTTGCTTCTTCAATCTCACTAACCCATACGTCGAGTACAGGGCATGGCAAGCCACTGTCCCCGTCTGCTCCACTTGGCTCCTGTAGAAATTCTGCTTCCAAGTCATCAGGCTCTGCACGGCGAAACATAACAAGAAAGAGGTCTCAGAGCAAAATCCATTTAGAGAAAATGGAATAAACCTCCTATAAATTATCATACCTAGTTTTAGGCTAAAGTATTAATAGTAATTACAACAAAAAACTTAATATTTTATCTATAGATCTTTAATATTACTGTGGTGACTCTCTAGTTGTTTCTGAAATAACAGACTTTTCCTTTTGCATTTTCACTGCAATAAAAATACCCCAAAGAAATACAGTACACTGTATTTTGATTATTATAAAAAATTTTCTCTTCATTAAAATTTCAGTAATATGTAAATTGCTTTCTTGAAGGTATAAAAACTAGTTTAAAGAACACTATCTATGGTTAGAAACATGGAAGCGGAGAAGATATTATTGATTAGAAACTGATGGGAAAGTTCAATCATCAAGAAAAACAAACAAAAAAACACCCCATTACCTGGACTTTTAAAATGATATTGAGAACATAATTGGAGTGCACTAAATCTATTTTCCTAGACTCTCAGACAATTAACAACCAGGGTACTACCTCTGTTTTCTGGCAGTGGCTCATTTTTTATCTGGGTGATAGTTCCTGGAAGGAAACAGTAATGAGAAATGGTTTCTGTCTTCATTTGTTAACCTTTCTTTTTCTTCTCTAGTCCTTATTTCAGCCACCATGACCACCGCTTTTTTCCCTAAAATCCAGATACTCTTTCCTTCTGTATTTTAAAAGTTTCCAATCAGTTGTCCAGTTTAGAAAGATGATTGGTATTGTACCAATCTTTAAAGTTCTCATCTTTTACTCAAATGAATATTTGGTCATGCATACGAGGTAAGCAATTGGGGGGGGATCCTTAAAAGTTTTTTTTAATGAGTGTTTGTTCTCTAGCACCTTAAGCCATATCAATATGACTCATTCTACAAACCAGACTTGTCAATGTACTGCCCATAAAGTCGAAAATATTTACTACGTGACTCTCTGTAGACGAAGTGTGCCAACTCTTGCACTAGGCTATACAGCCTCTATTATATGCCTAACAGGGATTTTCTTTGTTTCTTTTTAAGAAAAGGCGTAAGGTACGTGTTAACTATGATTCTAATGAATAAGACTATTTACATAACTATTAAGTTACTATGGTGAATTAAAGACAACCACACATGAAGCAAGGTGTCCAGCGTTCCTCTCATCTAGAGGGGACTCTACTGCCCCTCTCCTTGAGTTTGCCCCGGCAGTGAGATCGCCTGGACCAGCTGAGTACAGCTGGAGTCTCGTAAGCCAGTTCCACGTCCAGCCTCGAAGAGAACTGGCAGCTTCCACCTTGGAATCTGGAAGCCTAAGCCACAATGCAAGAACTTTAACGATCCTGCAAAGACCACATGGCAAGGCCCTGACACTAAGCTAAGGGGCGGGACACAGTGAACAGGCCCAGCCAAGCGCTGCTGAGACGCCACAAGTGGGAGTGACACCATCCCCCACCCTCCAAGGAGGTGCAGCTGACAGCTCAACACCACTGAGCGATGCCAGCTGATGCCACAAGGAGGAGGAGAACCTTCCCAATTCCTTATGCACAAAAGTGTGAGATAAAACAAAACAGTTCTTTTAAGGCACTAAGTTCGGGGAGCAATCTGCTTTGTAGCACTAGATAAGTAAGACAGAATTTCATATCTGAAGGTGGGGTGCTGCCATGACAAAGCTTCTACAAGAACAAGCGGCTTCTCCAAGTACAAGCGGCTTCCACCTGGGGATCTGGGAGCTCTGTGAGACGTCAGACCACCCTGCTGGAACGAGCGCACAGAAAGGCCTGGAGACCGCATGAAGAGGAAGGGGCGAGCCGGGCCCAGCCTCTGAGCTGTACCTGTCAGGACACCAGCTAAGCCCACTTGGACCCATGAGACCAGATGATCACAGAGACAAGAGCACATGGATTAGAAAAGCACATGGCTGAGCCAGGCATTGACTCAATTCCCAACAAACAAAATCAGGAGACAGAGTAAAATGGCTGTTCTTTTAACACTGGATTTTGGGGTGATTTGCTATGTGGCGATAAAAAAAAAAAAAAGGCCAGTTACTAGAAAAAAAAGTGAACTTAATTTGAGATGAATCACCCAAACATATATACATATTTTGAAGATCTGTTTATAAAGAAGACATTAAAGTGTTATTAAATCAAATCAATCTCATTTTGCCCCATTAAAACATACCATCCAAATTTCCTTCTGTTTTCAATGCCGTCTGTGGAGATGGCTCACTAAAGTTTGGACTGTCTGTCTCAACAGAAGAATCAACAGTAGCTGATGGGTTCATTTCAGGTGAAATACATTTTATTTTTTCTTCTCCAGTAATTAAGGGTTTGCACTCCTCCCCTTGAGGAGAAATCTCTGAAAAAACAAAAAGATGAAAAATCACGCTACGTTCTCAAAGTGACTTGAATTTTGTCTGTAACAGCACTTAGAACAAAGTTCGTGATTACAGCAGGTAATTACTGGGTAAGTTCTGTAATGTACTAGAAATTAATAAACGATTAAGGCACATGATAGCCACACAATTCAAATTGGAAAGGCATTTTTGTTATAAAGACATTGTTTTTCAGGCTTTTCAGATCAGTTAGAAAAATGTTTGCCTTTACTTAAAATCACAGCTCTCATTAAATTTAAAAGTGAGATAGTACTAAAACTCACTTGACAAGTATTCTGGACTTAGACATTTCAGCATTAAAGCAAGTAAGAGGTTTCCCTGGTGGCGCAGTGGTTGAGAGTCCGTCTGCCGATGCAGGGGACACGGGTTAGTGCCCCGGTCCGGGAAGATCCCACATGCCGCAGAGCGGCTGGGCCCGTGAGCCATGGCCGCTGAGCCTGCGCGTCCGGAGCCTGTGCTCCGCAACGGAAGAGGCCAGAGCGGTGAGAGGCCCGCGTACCGCAAAAAAACCCCCCAAAAAACAAAAAACAAGCAAGTTAGTACACATCAGTGCACTAACCTTTTTGAAAGTCTGACATCTAGGTTAATAGCTAATTTAGCATGTCTGGGTGGTGTTCTCCACATGAGCACCCCAGTGATACCGCTGCTCTAGTACCTAGTTCTCTACAGCAATATATATTCCCCTCTAAGCTCTGTGCCTCATCTGTAATCACTGATGACAAGCATGACTATGAAGCATGACCAAACTGTACAATTGAATAGGATATTTTTCTAAAACTATGGTGAAATACACATGTGATATGGTTGACCCGCATGACTTTTCTATTTGCTGGGATTGGGTCTGCATTATGCCCATGGATAGACATTTTAATGATTATGAATTATAAAAATCCCTTAAAATAAAAAAATTTTAAATCAAAAATTTCCCATGGGATAGAGACATATTTCAGTGTCAAGCATAAAGATTCTTAAATATACAGAATTAGGTTACATCATTCACATGTGTGTGATGCTGTAATAATACTCTCAATAAAAAGATTTCAATTTCTACCATTGTTGTATGAATGTAATTTTATTTTTTAATAACCACACTCATGTATGGTTTTGATTATCCCAGTTGAGTTATTGTTTATGTATGCATAGGAATGTTTTGTTCAAACGTATTTTTGAATTTTCAGTAATCATAAATCAAATCTTACCTTTATGTATAAAACCCTTTATGTAATATAAAATGTATAATATTATACATAACATTTAGAATACAATTATTTTGGCAAGTTGGTTTGTATTTTTAATGTCCCAGTTGCAGTATTTAATTATTTGAAACAGACTGAAACTTGGTAATAGTCAATAAAGCTAAAAAAACCAAGTGGTAAAACAAATAAACAAAAATAAATTTCTAAGGTGGCTAACATACATTTCTAAGGTGGCTTACTTGCCTTTTCCTTTAGATGAAACTTTTACATATATATATAAATGTCAGAATGATATATTTATGTCAAAATGATATTTTTAAAATTATGAACTAACTGTTTTTGTGTGTTTCTGGTAATTGCTCAGAGACTTCCCATACTTTAAACTGACCAGGAGAGGATGGATTCAGCTCAGAAAGATGACTGCAGTTACCTGGAAGATGCCCAGGGCAGTCCCGTCCATTCCTTGGAGAAGCTCCTTTCCAGCTCACTACTGGGAGCCCCCCTAACACCCATTCTGTCTTAGCTAATCTGCTGGACTTCTGTCACACCAATAAGCCTTCCGGTATCTATCTGGGCTGGTCAGTACATCTCCACGATGTTTTCTTCTCCCTCCCTCGGTCACTCCAGTGCTCACATCTTGGAGATCCTGTCATTCAGTACAGCTCCTCAAAAAGTTCACTGTTAAATACCCCACCTTCTAATTCCCAACATCCTGTGTTTCCACTCACCTCCCTCTACTACCCCAACTCTAAAGAATGTTACCCGACCAGGACCTAAAATGCACTGATCCTACCATGGTTTCTCTCTCCATCATCCCCATTAAAATCCATCTACAGCCCATCATTAAAAACATTCTCTTCCATACATCCTCAACTCACGGTATTCACGGCAAAACCCCAACTCCACATCAATTCCATCTTCTGCCTGTCATGTCTGAACACATGTGGCTGGAACAGTTGGAGAAAAACACAGAGCCTTGCTGCCTGGTCCCAACTTCAATTCATCATCACTGAAGTCAAGTGGGGCCTCGGTGTTGCCCATGTCCTTCTATAACACTGGGCTAGCAGGCACTGCTTGGCTCAGTTAACTCCTTAGGAAAAACAGTTGTGTACAGGTGCTTGTGAGCTGCTTTACTTCTTACTTCTTCCTGGTCAATGAGAACAGAACTACAGTGCTGCCCATGTTCTGGAACAACTTCCCTTCACCAAGCCTCATTGACAATGTGACAGTGGCAGAGGTCACATCTGTGCTCTGCTCATTCAGTCTAAGTGTTCTGCTATAAAATAATGTCTATTAAAACCAGGAACAAGGATGCCAGACAGCACTATGATTACTGAAGATTGCTCTGGAGGGTCTAACAATGCAGTGAGAAGGAAAGGGAATAAATAATTACTGGACAAAAACCCTATTTCTTATTACTGATGAGATAATCTGCACATTTATAAGATTTATGATATCAAAGAAAAAAACTTAATAGAGTTAATGAAATAATTCAGTAAAGAGTCTGGCTATAAAATTTTACATGGCTGGGTAACAGAAAGAATAGCTTTATTTTTTTATTTTTATTTATTTATTTTTTTGTTGTACACGGGCCTCTCACTGTTGTGGCCTCTCCCGTTGCGGAGCACAGGCTCCGGATGTGCAGGCTCAGCGGCCATGGCTCACGGGCCCAGCCACTCCGCGGCATGTGGGATCTTCCCGGACCGGGGCATGAACCCATGTCCCCTGCATCGGCAGGCAGACTCTCAACCACCGCGCCACCAGGGAAGCCCAGAATAGCTTTATTTTGACTAGAAATAACAACCTAGGGAAATGGAAAAAATACATCATCTATATTATAAAGACAAAAATATACCCACTGTATAAAAATAAATTTACCAAAAAAGGTTTTAGAACTTAAATGAACAAAACAAAATGTTACTGAAAAACACAGAACAAGACCGGTGCAAATAGAAAGACATACTTAAATTCCTGAAATTAAAAAAAATTCCAAAAATCATGGGGACTTCCCTGGTGGTCCAGTGGTTAAGACTCTGCCTTCCAATGCAGGCGGTGTGGGTTTGATCCCTGGTCAGGGACCCCACATGCCGCGGGGTGCAGCCAAAAATTTAAAGAAAAAAAATTGCAAAAATCAATATACAAATGTAATACAATTCTAATCATAATGCTCAATTCGATAAAGTGAACTTAAAATTCCTTTGAAATAATAATTGTCTAAAAACAACCAAGGACGGGACTTCCCTGGTGGCACAGTGGTTAAGAGTCCACCTGTCAATGCAGGGGATGTGGGTTCGAGCCCTGGTCCAGGAAGATCCCACATGCTGCAGAGCAACTAAGCCCGTGAGCCACAACTACTGAGTCTGGAGCTCTGGAGCCGACGAGCCACATCTACTGAGCCCGCGTGCTACAACTACTGAAGCCCATCCACCTAGAGCCCATGCTCCACAACAAGAGAAGCCACCACAATGAGAAGCCAGAACACTGCAATGAACAGTAGTCCCTGCCCGCCGCAGCTAGAGAAAGCCTGCGCACAGCAACAAAGACCCAACACAGCCAAAAATAAATAAATAAATAACTTAATTAATTAAAAAAATACTACTATAAAAAAACTAAAAACAACCAAGGAAAATATTTTAGAATTCCAACTCAGTTAAAGATTATATATGTACATGCATGCACATGTGTACACACGTCTGTTATCTATCTATCTAATCTAAAGATCTGCCAAATTTTTCACCCAATAAAGGAAATTCAGAAGATATAAATAAAAGATATACTTGCATGAAAATTTTAAAAAAAGAAAAAAAACTCTGTATGGCCAAAAATAGCATAAAAATAAGTGAAATAGCAGAGGGTGGAAAAAAACTGTGATGATATACTAGATAAAGGTTATTTATACCAGATTAAAAATTCACAAGAAAAAAAAATTGGAAATATAATATAAAAAAGGCAAAGAATATACACACAATTTACAGAGAAGCAAAGCAAAATGGCCAAAAGACTGTGACATGATGAAATTCACTCACAATCAGAAAATCACAAATGGAATCTTAACTTGCAAGCTTGGTAACAATGAAAAAAAAGTGATAATATTGACAAGGCCTGCTTAATATTTGAAAATCAATCAGTGTTACTTGTTACATTAATATAATCAAGGAGAAAAATCATACAATCATCTTAATTAAATCAGAAAAAGGGTGAGAAAATTTAATGACTCTTTATAAAACAAGACTAGCAGGGAATTCCTTAATCTGAAAATGGGTATTTTCAAAAAAGACTTGAGTTAACATGATACATTTACTCCCTTCAATCAAGAACATGACCCTTCTATTCAACATTCTACTAAATGGCATTTTTTGAAGAGAAATTGTTAATTTTATTATAGTCCAATTTATTCAGTCCTTTTCTTTACAGTTGGCGTTTTTAAGGACAAGTTTAAAAGGACAAGCCACTAAAAGACAAAATATATTTAGAACACACGTAACTAACAAAAGGCTTCTAACCAGAATATACAAAGAACTCCTAAAAACCAAAGGGAAACCAACATAATGGAAAAATAGGCAAGACACTTGAATAGGCACTTCAAAAAAGAGCATATGCATCTTAGTAAGAAATTTTTGGATATGACACCAAAGTACAAACAAAAACAGAACAAAACAGTGGGTCTACATGAGTAAAAGCTTGTGCGCAGCAAAGGAAAAATCAACAAAATAAAGAGGTAACCTACGGAATGGGAGAAAATATTTGCAAATTATATACCTGATAAC